GCGTATCCCGGAGGACTCCCAGATTGCGGGCCCTCTCTGAGGGGGGTAAAACTTCTCCCCCTATCATCAAAGAAGGTACGTGATGCACAAATCGGGATGACGGGAACCACAGCCACTCAGTCTAAGCGGGGCTGGACCTCAATCAAGAAGTCAACAGCCCCAGGCCACAACACAGGAGGTTGGGAATGGGGACACCATTTTGCGGTGGTCCTCCTCCTACCTCTCGGATCGATCACAGTTCGTGTTCACTGGAGGGCAGAGATCGACCCCGAGGTCCATCACTTGTGGGGTGCCTCAGGGGTCAGTTCTCTCACCTCTCCTGTTCAACATATATATGAAACCGCTGGGCAAGATCATCTGTGGTTTCGGGGTACGGTATCAGCAATATGCTGATAATACCCAACTTTTCATCTCTACCCCAAACCACCCCAACGATGCCCTCGACATGATGTCCCAATGCTTGGAGACAGTGCAGATCTGGATGGGGAGGAACAGGCTCAAGCTCAATCCCTCCAAGACTGAGTGGCTGTGGTTCCCGTCATCCCGATTTGTGCATCACGTACCTTCTTTGATGATAGGGGGAGAAGTTTTACCCCCCTCAGAGAGGGCCCGCAATCTGGGAGTCCTCCGGGATACGCAGCTTAGTTTAGAAGAACATCTTACGGCCATGACCAGGGTGGCCTTCTACCAGGTCTGCCTGGTACACCAGTTGCACTCCTTCTTGGATCGGGATGCCCTGTGCACAGTCACTAACGCCCTCATCCTTTCTCTCCTGGACTACTGTAATGCTCTCTACATGGGGCTGCCCATGAAGAGCACCTGGAGGCTCCAGCTGGTCAAGAATGCAGCCGCATGGGTTGTCATGGGGGTACCTAGGTGCTCCCATGTTACACCCCTTTTAGGGGCCTGCACTGATAGCTGGTTGTTTTCCGGGTTTGATTCAAGGTGTTAATTATGATCTTTAAAGCGCTCCATGGCTTAGGCCCAGGGTACTTGTGAAACCACCTACTGCCACCGGTAGCCTCCCACTGTCCAGTACGATCCCACAGAATTGGCCTCCTCAGGGTACCATCGGCCAGGCAGTGTTGGCTGGCGACCCCCAGGGGGAGAGCCTTCTCTGTGGGAGCGCCTTCCCTCTGGAATGAGCTGCCCCTGGAGTTTCGCATATCCCCTGACCTCTGGTCCTTCCGGCACGCCCTGAAAGTTGGCTTTTTCAGCAAGCTGGCCTGGCCTGAATAGAATAAATTAAATTATTAATTTTAAATTGTTAATTTTAATTTAATCCTAAAATTGATTTAAATTGTCAATTGAAGGTTATTGGATTTCCTATTTAATCTTTTTTAATTTTTGTCATATGTGTTTTTATGTTGTACGCCGCCTTTGGGNCATGTTGGAAACCGGACGTTGGCCAGTGTAACTGAGAAACCAAGAAAGGAGAGAAGACGTGTGACTCATTTTAAAGCAAGGAATAGACAGCCTGATGCAAAATGCTGCATGCGGGTTCATAAAAGGTTGGCCGTGCCCTCAGGGCCTGCATCCAATGTTGCCATTAAATGGAGCTTCTGGAATGTGGAACTCTGGCCTTTCAGAAAGCAGGGGAGGTGAGTAGCAGCCTTCGGACCCTCAGACATGGTCCATCCTTGGAGGAAAAGGGCCTGTATCTGTTCAAGGAAGGAAGGCTCAGCACCGATCCAAGAAAGAGATTACCTGACATTCATGGCAATGTCAAAAGTGATGTGTACGTTGTTTCCTATGCAAGTCTCAGGAATGGTGTGCACCTCCAGCCTAAATGGTGCCTCTTCTTGCTCCAAAGGGACATTGTATGTCAAGACAGCCTGGAATAGAAAGACCATCATTTGGGGACATTCTACACTCCCATGACAGAAGAATGTGGAGCAGGGTTGGGTTTCTCCAGGTTTGCACTGGTACACCAGAACCGGTTTGTGAAATTTAACGTACCTTTTGGAGCCTGTTCCAAAAGGAAGGAAGGAAGGAAGGAAGGAAGGAAGGAAGGAAGGAAGGAAGGAAGGAAGGAAGGGGGGGGAGAAAAAAAGAGAGAGACAAAGATAGAAAGAAAAAAGAAAAAAGGAAGTGGGAGCAAGAGAAGAAATAATGAAAGAGGGGGAGAAAGACAAAAGGAAGCAAGGAAAGAAAGAGTATGAGAGAGAGAGAAAGAAAGAAAAAGAAAGAGAACTTATGACCACAATTGAGGCCAAAATTTTGGTTGCTAAGCAAGAGCATTGTTAAGTGAGTTTCACCACATTTTCCAAATTGACCACGACCACCCGGTCACACGCCCACCAAGCCACACCCACCCAATCACATGACCACCGAGCCACTCCCACAAAACAGGCCACACCTACAGAATAGGTTCTAAAAATTTTGAAACCCACCCCTGATGTGGAGGTTTAAAACAAGTGGCATATGTAAAAGCAAGAAAAATCTGGATTCAAATAGACACACTGATCAAGAGGATTTAAAGATTAATATACAATTGAGACCAGAGGCTTTTCTTTGGACCAACAGTCAGAGGAAAAGTCATGGAACTTTATTGTTGTACATCGTAACTGCAGAGAGATTACTGTATGCACAAAGATGGAAAGATTCCCCACATAATAGAGGAATGGTTGGTGAAGAGGATGGAATTCACTGATGTTACCAAATTGACTTATCTGATCAGAGAAAAGACAAATATCTATGTTTATTGCTGACTGGAAACCCATGATGGACTTTTTATTTATTTTATTATTTATTTGTAAAGGTAAAGATAAAGGTTTCCCCTTTCCAGTTGTGTTCAACTCTAGTGGGTGGTGCTCATCTCAGTTTCTTAGCCAAGGGAATCAGCATTGTTCAAAGACATTTCCATGGTCATTTGGCCAGCATGATTATACGCCGAAGTACATAGACACTTCCCACTGAAATGGTGCCTATTTATCTACTTGCATTTGCATACTTTCGAACTGCTAGGTGGGCAGGAGCTGAGGCAAGAATGGGAAATCACCCCATCGTGCAGCACTCAGTTCTTGAGCTCTCAGCTCCCAACCAGCAATTAAAACAACATCAATAATATATCAATATAATACATATACCTATTAAAACCATAAACATTACAAATCTAGTTAAATTGCCAGTCGATCGTTAATCCTTTTCTCCACATCATCCTATCCCAATATCTGGGGGAGAAAGCCAGGTCTTCAGTGCTTTTCAGAGGGCTAGTAGTGCTCCTGGTTCCTGTAGTCTGCAATTTTTCTCTGGAAATCCATTCCCACACCACGATTGTTGGTCTGATGTTAATCTTGAAGTTAATCTATGCTCATCTGGGTGCTGATTGCTTTTTGTTCTCTTTCTGGGAACAAAATTAAACTGCACATGACAATTCATTCCCTCAAGACCTGGTGATGGTCATTAACCCGAATGGCTTCTAAAGCAGGATTGGATGCATTCACAGAAGGCAGGTTCCACGTTATTTCTGAAATGGGGACAGCAAGCCCCCAAGCGCCAAGTTGTGAGCGAATTAGAAATTCTCTGGCTGGCGACCATGAGAAGCAAAATGCTAGTCTTAAATGGCCTAATCTGACCTGGCTGCTCTTATGTTCTCAAAGATGTTCTCCATCCCTTACTTAACTTGCTCACTTTCTTCATGTCTTTTCTTCTCAACTTGCATTCCCATAAGTCCATTGGGAACCCAAAATAGATCATCACTAGGCAGTGGCACTGGTCTCTTCTCTCACCAGGGCACTCACCTGCATAAAGATGCAACCGGTCACCTCAGCTGTGTAGTTCCCTGGCCCTTGGAGCAGATCTTCACACTGGAGCAGCAGAGAGTTGTTCCTGTCTACATGGAATTCTCTCAGGAGACCATATTCTGAACTCAAGATTGCTCTGGTATCGATGCCATCCTTGGAATAATTAAATGTCTTGTATTGGGACAGAGCCTGGAGAGCCACCACCGTATCCTGCAAGAGAAAGCAAAAGAATGGAATGGAACAGAACAGAACGCTGGAAAACCTCCAGTGCTGAAGCGCCCACAATTTCTGAAGTCAAGCTGTAATTGTCCTCACTGTTAGGCAGTGACACACCTTGGTTGGTCATCCTGGGAGCTGAGATTCTGACACATCTGGAGGCCATAACAAGGCATAACATCACATCAGGTTTGTTTCCAATTGCTCCTTCCTGCATCCTCTTGAGAAATTTGTGAGGAGCAAACATACCTGTGTAGAGGCGAATCCTCCACGGGAATTCTGTTGTTTGGTCAACCATTTGACAATGGCTGCTGCTAACGTTAATTCTTCCTCAGAGGGGGACGGTTCTTTGGTCACTAAAGCAAGGAGCACGTAGGAAGTCAACTCTATTTCAGCAGCGGCAGCACGCACGAAGAGTGGAAAATCAGACTTCTGCTTTGGCTTCCAGGATCTCTCCCAGTGGATAGAGCCATCCTCTTCAAAGAGAGAAGTTAACTTTGGGTTACACACACAGTCCATGCACAGAGATATATCAACTTTCGACTAGTATCTGTACAAAAACATTTGGCCTCCCTGGTATCAAGCTCTATGCAATTGAACAACAGGAGAAGCATGTTCCAGGTGACCTCAATGTACATCCGGTTACTTAACAATTGTTCAAAGTTATGACGGGTCTCCCCACAGCTACCTATAACCAGTTTTAGAGTTACAAAAGTAAACCTACCACCACAGTTAAGCCCAAAACTGATGTCGCTAAGTGAGAAATTTGTTAAGTTTTGCCCCATTTTACAACTTTCCTTGCCACAGTTGTTAAGTGAATCACTGCAGCTGTTACATTAATAACCCAGTTGTTAATTGAATCTGGTTTCCCCATTTACTTTGCTGGTCAGAAGGTCGCAAAAGGGGATCCCATGACTCTGGGACACTGCATCCGTCATAAATGTGAGTCAGCTGACAAGCATCACAATGTAAATCACATGCCCATGGGGATGGCGCAATGGTAGTGGCAGCGTAATAGCCATAAGTCACTCTTTCCAGGGCTCTTGTAGCCTACAATGGTTACTGGTGGCTAAAGCATATGATGAACCATGATATCCTATTGCCATTCCATTCCATTTATTGAATTTATAGGCCGCCCAATCCAGGAGGACTCCGGGCGGCTTACAGAAATAAGAAATATTTAAAAAGATTGAAACAGATAAGACACAACAAATTAAAAGAAACACAACATGCACTCAGTCTAAGCGGGGCTGGACCTCAATCAAGAAGTCAACAGCCCCAGGCCACAACACAGGAGGTTGGGAATGGGGACACCATTTTGCGGTGGTCCTCCTCCTACCTCTCGGATCGATCACAGTTC